GGACCCAGGAAAGAAATCACCCTTGCATCCTGCTCAGGAAAACAACCCGAATCAACACTATCCACAATTCTTTTTTCCTTTGACTGCATTCTCCGGGATCTCCTACCTTTCACCACTCCTCCTCAGCCTCCTTCACTGGCTTTTCTTTGGCCCCTTCTTTACATTCTACGTTCTCCAGGACTCTGGCCTTAGTCCTCATCTCTTTGACCCTGTTTTCTTTTTTAATGAGTTGGTCCATGTCTATAATTTTGATTATCCCCAGCAACCCATGGGTCCTACCTTATCTCTCTCTTCTAAGATATTGACCTGTATTTCCAAATGGTCGACTGGATCTTTCCATGTGGATGAACTTTCTAAAGACACCACAAACTCAGCACATCATCTCCTTTCCCAATCCCTCCTCCCTCTCATTGACACTCTATTCAGTAGAGATACCATTTAATAGCTATAATAGTGTAAATAACAGCAAAGACGTTTTTTAAAATACTTCATACAAACTTGACCACTGAAAGAAATAACGATTGCATTTATTTTAACATCTGTGGTCAGTCACAAATTGCATTGGGGCTAATTCATACAATTAGCTCTTAAAAAAAAGAGGACTGCTAAAGAATTTGATAAATAGGAGTCCATTGGCGATTGTCAAGAATGCAATTACAGTCAATTGCAACCTGATTGTGAATGGTGTAGAATTGAGGAGAAAAGAGCTGTTGCTAGTAAGAATGGACCACTCTTTCAAGTTTGACAGTGAAAAGATAAGAAAGAGTAAACGAATGCCTTTAAGGCAGTGATTTTCCACAGTGGCAGGCACACTGGTGTGTCTCAAGAATATTTTTTTTAATTGTTGACATTATCACAGGTGTCCCCCATTCTTCCCCCTTTTATGCCACAAGAATTTTTAAAATGTGCAACACCTGACTATTTAGTCAGAGACACTGACCTCTTTTCTCTTAGATTGTCAAATTAAAAAATGACAACAGCCAACACAACAATAGCCATCTGGTGTGAATGAATCAAAATTATATCTTATTTTTTGTCAGATCACCAAAAATTTATTTTTGGTGTGCCGCAGAATTTTAATAATTAGTTTATGTGTGCCATGAGATGAAAAGGGTTGAAAACCCCTGCTTTAGGGGAAAGCAGATGCGAGGAAGTCATCTTTCAGGACAGGGAAAACTAAACAATTTTGCAGCCTGCAGGTAGGAAGGTGGTGGGGAAGGGATTAAAGAGAGGGAAAATGAGAAGATAGCAACTGAATACTGACAACCATGAAGAAGAGAGTGGGAAGGTCTCTGTACTTTTCTGTACATAGTCTCTATGTAACATTTGCTTTAATAAATTAGGCCTACTTATCATTCGTTGCAGTATTGAATAAATGATAGTAAAAATTTTTTTAATATTTGCATGTGATCTTTAACCTTGACATTTATTTTGACATCTGTATAAGTTAGGCAAAAATTGCAGTTGAGGCAAATTTGTACAATTAACTAAATCATGTGTTCCTTTTTCCTTTCAAAATTTCCTTTATATATTCCATTCCTAATGAGTATGAAAAATCCTTTTAATTCAACCCAGACACAAGAAGTATCTTTCAATTAATAGTGTTACTTTTTAATAAAACCCTATTCTGAAATTGAACATAGGGTGCGTCATATTTCAGGTCTCTATCCCACCAAATTATCTTGTTGCTTTGTTGTTACTTGCAAAATTTTCTTACGTAATGCATTCTATATCTGCGACCATATATTGTCTTCCTATACAGTTTCCAAGTTTTATGGTTTATTTAAGTCAAGTGAATAAACCTAGCGTTCTGTTCTACTTTTGTGGAGGAGAGAATGAAGGAGTGGGAAGCAAAAGGTAAACAGGGCTAAGGAGAGATGGTGGAATGTCTGCAGAGAGGGAAGCCAGGGTCATTGTCCTTAAGAAAACCACAGATGTGATTCAGGGCTATTAAGAAAGTTATTAGCACCAAGAAGGAACTAGATAGTCCTCCTTCCAGTTACTCAGAAAGGATTTAGATTGGTGTGGGGAAGATGGGAGATAAAAGAGGCTTGGCGTTTCAGAGATGGGACCCTGATCTCCAGCTAAAAGCTTCTTACAGGGAATGAGGCATTGTCGGCAAATGATGAGTTATTTCCCTTGTGTCTTTCCTCACTCTGCCCATCTCAAAGTCTTCCCTGTTTTAGCTCCACTGCACTAACACTCCCTCCTGAACTGCACTTAGGTGAGCAGTGCACAAAATCGCTGGCAGGCAGCCTGCTGAGGCTGTGGGGGGAAGGGGCCTTCCCTCACTGCCTCAGTGGCCAGGGGAGGTGGGAGGAGCACAGGAAGTGATTGCCCTCAGGCTTCTCCTCCCACAGAAGCCCTGCCTCCTCAGGCGCTCAGGCTTGGAGGGTGGAGAGGTCAGCTTTCTCTCTCCTTCTAGTTCAGTCCCTTTGGCTTATGGGAGAGACCACGCAGAAAGCGATGATGGAGTTGCTTTCTGTGCTCGACAAAAGTGCTTAGCTAGAAGACAGGGACTCCCGGCTGGGAGGAGGGAGGCGAGCTGAAGATCCCTGCCTGGGCTGGCTCATCTAAGCAGGCAAAGTGGGAGCTGAGTGCTTGAAAGAGGATTGTGCTCGCACTAGAAATAAGCAGTAAGTGAGGGAATAACCATCGTGGTGTAGAAAAGGCTTAATCCCCCTGGGGTTATGGGGTGAACTGGGAAATATTGCTTAACTCTAGAGGAAAACTGTAAGAAATCTGACTGCGTACAGTTGTGTGCTGTTTGGAGACTGGAGGCTTAAAGACAGAATCAGAGCTCTAAGTTCCTCCTCCCACTTTTGGAAAATGCCAACTTCTGCTTTCAGTAGTTGGGGTGATACTCTCCTTTCCTGACCCCGCCTCTCGCCAGGAAAATGTACTATTATATCAGATAAAGAGTTGGGATTAAATTGGAAAGGTGGGATGCTGGTATTGGCAGGAACTGCAACTTTGAATTATGTTCTATGAATTCGGATATTTTTATATCAATTAGCACTGATTTGCTAATCACAAGAAAGTCTGGGGCGGGGCATTAAAAAGGGAAAGCTGGGAGCTTTTAGGACAAAGAGGCTGAGTAGTCCTTATGTGTGGGATGAGATATAAAAATGCATATAATTAATAGGTTTGTTTTTTTTAAAAGCATTAAGCTAGAACAGCAGTCAGAGAACATTGTGCTTGGATAAGAATTAGTTAGAAAAGAAGAAATTTTTGTTTCAATGACTTTTTGTGCTAGCCTAAATTTTCACAATATTTACAAAGACAAGACAATGATTCAGGGATATTCCCATTATTGCCATACATTATAAATACTATTGCTGGGCAAGATCTGTGGTTCTCTGCTCAGCAAGTTCTGGCAATGAAGCCACTGCCTCTGGTGCAAAGAATTCTGGGATGTCTGACAGTGACATGGATGGAAGGACCCACATTCCATCTCTACTTAATGTCCTTTTGTCCAGAAATCGAGTCATGCAAATGAGCTACTTGGTACGTATACAGATCAATATTCGGAAAAGCATTTCTAAACGTTTTGCATTAGAGGGTCTCTGGACAATATCCTATGGCAACCAGGGGACTAAAAGCATATAAAAGCCAAGTGATAGGAAGGAAGTCAGCTTGGTTGAAACCACCCTTGTTCTCTTTGTTTTCCATTAATCCTGAAATGGTTCCTCAAATGAGGACAAGAATAACAATAGAGAGAAGTACTGTGGCCATCTGTTCTGCTCTAAGTGGCCAAATTCATTAATATATGAATGAGACTGTATTTATGCATCCTAATACTTGAAGATTCAGAGATCTCTTTATTACTCACACGAACACACACACACACACACACACACACACACACACCAGAAAAGTAGTAGGTACATTTATTGAGGAGGAAATGTGGAAATCTGGTTTTGAAATGTTATTGGGGGGAAAGACAAGAGTCATATCCCACAGTGTAAACAGATTTATGTCATGTTTCATAAAGGATATTTCCTCCCCCAATGAGATGGGGATTCTAATATGGTACAGTAGGTGCAAACATAAGAAACATTTTCAATTCCCTTAATTCTAGTCAATGTAGTTAATACCTAAAGAAGGAATTGTTTTTAAAAAAATAATAACTTTGAAACATAGCTAACTGTATAGCAATTTCTTTTTTTCCCCTTTTGTTACTGGTCCTCTATAGAGGTCTTTAATTTCTGAAATTAGGAAGAAATATGTCATTTCTGGCATTCCCATCAGCAGGGCATTGCAAGAAAGAATAAAAAAGACTCAGATAAATGATCTTTCTCCTATCAGCACAACAGTAAAATGGTTGTCATGATCTATCCTTTTCTGATGTTAGAATTTTTCTATGGGGTAGGTAGAAGGAGAATGGTCGTTGGGGGAGAAATGATAAAATGCTAATAAATTCATTTTTAAAGATGGTCTGTACTCTTCTAACTTTTCAAACTAATTCTGAAAGTTATTTATCTTTTTAAAATTATTTCTGAGTTGTTTTTACAATGTTAGTTTTTAACTGATTTATAAGCAAATGTGTAAAAAATCTAAAGATTTTTTTATCTGAGTTGCAGGATACTGGTCTTATTCTTAAAAATATATAAGGGATTAAAATAAAACATTTAATAGTTGAAGTCTTAAGCCTAGTATTACTAACTGCAGTTTTGACCTTTAAGAAAAATGTGCTCCAGACTCTTAAAGGAATTACTTATATTAAAGTATTAAAGAATCTTTTCTAAAACTACAGAATAAAAAAAAGAAGCATAACAATATTCAGAGAAGAATAAAGATGTAATTTGTATGGAAGAGGCTAAGCAAAAAATACTTAATGAATAATTATAAACCAACAGCTTAACAATAAAACATTTGCTATTGTCCATGAGAAACTGACATGAAGAATAATGTATTATGACTAGGGAACAGTATTAAATGGGATCTAGATTATTAATGGAAACAAACTAAATGATCATTTAAAATTATTCTTTCACAAGAAAAGTAAAGAAAAAGGATATGGAAAACTAAGCAGCGATGAAGACCTCGAGATAATTGTTGATCAAAAGCAGGTAAGTGAATGCTTACATACATTTTCTACTGTTTCACTGTAGAGTTTTGACAGCTGAAGCCTTTGAGCATTCAGCCCTTCCCTAATCGAGGAGGCCTGTCTAACAAGATAGATTTTGAGAGTTACTAAGCTTCCCCCATGATGCCTCTGATCCACTGACTTTTGTATGTCAGGGTGTAAGAATGGTGAAAAATAAAGCAGAACAAGAAGAGAGAACTTTTGGAAAATTAAAAGCCCCCTTTGAAAAATGAATCAAAACAACAATGATAATTTGGTTAGCAAAATAGATTTAAGCAAGAATCAGAAAGTATATTTGTTTGAAAATGAGAAATGCTACCCTTAGTGTAAAACAATGAATATGATTTAGGGAGAGGGAGATAAAAGACTTTAAAAAACTGAAAAGTTTAAAATATGTCTATCTAGATAGATAGATAGATTACCCAATTTAGTTTCTCAGCTAGTCTCCAGTAAATTTAGAGATGATGTTTAAAAAACAAAATGAAGCTATTTAAGACCTGTAATACTGCCTATAATTTGAGAAACATCTAGCTTGGGTTTTATATGGGCCCATAAGGTGAAATTGAAAACTGCTTAATAGACCAAAAACAATGACACACCAGGTAATGGAAGGTATCCAGCTTATGCCACTGAATTGGCATCAGCCCTTAACGTCTTTGTTAATTGTCGGGGAGACAAGCTAACTGCACATTCGCTTAATGTATAAGTGGCATTGATTCTGAGGGTGATGTAAACTCAGGTGGAGATAAATAATTCAAAGCGATCTGAGCAGATGAAGAGGTTAGAAAGACAGCAAGCTACAGGAAGGCAAGTTGAATTTGGACAATTTCCTAATTGTGCATTTGTTTTACATCGTGGTGATTGCATTCAAGGAGCAATTGTGTATATTTCTGAAAAGGAAAAATGACCGTCGGAAAATAGCAGCCAGAAACAGTTAACTTAGAGACTTGCTTGTCAGAGTGGGATAACTGAGGTAACTGAAGTGATCTTCTGGGGAAAACTGGCCAAATAACCTCCATAAACAACCTGCAGATTTTTCTTGCCTTATCTTCACTTTCTGGCTCCTGAATAATATACGGGGCCAGAGATGTTTGGCCCTGGATTTCTACTTAGTGCCAGATTGTCAGTTTCGTTAATAAGGTAAGTGGGACTGGAGCCTGATTGCTCCACCGGGCTATTAGGTCTCATTTGAACTATGCCAGGATTAGGACTTGGGGCACACAATCTCCATCTCCCACAGCCTGGCATTCTGATCCGAGGACCGGCCCTACGTGGTGAATGATGCCATTCAGCATGTGATGAGCATATACATGTCTATGCGTTCTCTATTAAAACAAAAAGTTATGACTTAATTTCTTTCCTAATCATGTGGCAGGTAAATTCTTACTCTTTTTGTATTTCTTTAGTTTCATCCTACCCCAAGTCTGCTTTTCTTTCTTTTTTTCTCCCTAAAGCTTCTTTTTGTTTTTAACTGAATTTGGGGGTTCCGAAAACTATCAAATTGTACATGGAGATCTTCGGAGTGGAAAGCCCAAGGGAGTCGTGGGCTTTATCTCATGGTACCTTCCATAAAACTTACGTTGGTGGGCCCAAACATATTTTACTAACTGTTAAGGAAGCTTCAAAAAATGAGAGAGAGAGAGAGAGACCTACTTTACTGCTTTTTCAGAAAACAGCACTTTCCATACCTGAATCAAAGGAGGGAGAGTTTTTTGGTCCAGTCATTGTTTGCCTCTGTGGTTATCACATTTCCTCCGGTGCCATTGTGCCTGTTGGCACCAGCTGGCAGGGACCCAGCTTTGCTGAATCATTCATGTCAAACATGTTTCAAAAGATGAGTAATTATGAATATGACTTGGCATTGGTGTTTGCTGTTGGCTCTAAAAGTAGTTCTCCCTTTTGGGGCAGTTTGTTTAATGTTGATGTTGTGAGTAAATCCCAGGTCAGACCAATGACAGTGTTGCTACCTGTAAGTAAAATATTTGGGAAAACACTCTAATTAGTCTTTATAATTCTACAAAAAAATTCTTCCTGAATATAAGAGATCAACATTAAAGGTATGTGTGTAAAATGCATGTTTAATATTGCTTCATCTCGTAGATTATATATATTATTTATATGTAATATTATTTTATGTATTGATATATTATATTACATATAATATATATGATATATAGTATATATACACACACTATTGGAGAGGAATATTAATGTTCAATTTATTCTTCCTATCTTTTCAGAAACAGGCTAGAAATATGTTAGTCAATCTTCATATCATTGCAAATAGCTTTTTCAGTAAATGGTGCCAAAATTCTAAAGATTTTAAAAAGTAGTTTGAGGCTGTGATGGGCAGAAGTCTACTAATCTCATTAAATCTGTCCTTCAGAAGCTGTCACTTTACAAATGCTGTGCAAGCTATGTGCCATTTTATCAGCCGTGCAAGTCTGGTACTTCCACAGAAAGCCCACAGTTTTGCTTATATAAGCAAATTAATAACAGAAGCAGCACAGCGTATGTGCATTTTGTTCTCCCCGGCTGCCCACATTCAAGGGAGTAAAGGTTATTTCTGTGTTATTTCTGCATAAGAACAGTAATTTTGAAAATGTCTAAAGTTTTATTGTTAAATGGTAATATTGTGCTTCTTTGTAAAATTTTATTGGGAAAGTTTATTTGAGATGCATATAAAACATTTCACAAAATTCTTAGATTAGTGTTGATATCCTCAAATAATAGGTGACATAATATGTAATCACACACACACGCACACACACACACACAGTCATTTAAATATAAAAGTGCTTTCACACATTTATATTTATACTGGTATCAGAATCCATATTCTCCACAAGAAAATCCTTAAGGTTTTTTTATTATTTTTAAATATCTTTTTATTGATTTCAGAGAGAGGAAGGGAGAGAGAGAGATAGAAATATCAGAGATAGAAATATCAAATATCATTGATCGGCTGCCTCCTGCATATCCCACACTTGGGACCCACAACCTGGGCATGTGCCCTGACTGGAATTGAACTGTGACCTCCTGGTTCATGGGTCAACCCTCAAGCGCTGAGCCATACCAGCTGGGCCCTAAAGCTTTTAAACTCAAAGTCTAGGAAGGTAATCAAAGGAAACATATTGGATTAAAATCTTATTGACTCTAAGATCCAGCTATTTGACATAAAATATATATACTGTTTATTGTAATTACATGTAGAAATATAGTTATTCTATGTAAATTTATCTATATATAAAAGCCTAAGCAACCAAATGACCAAATGACCAGTTGACTGATCGCTATGACATGCACTAACCACTAGGGGGCAGACACTCAATGCAGGAGCTGCCCCCTGCTGGTCAGTGTGCTCTCACAGCCAACCTCCTGCGGCCTGATCGGCCCCGATCGCCAGCCAGGCTGAGGGACCCCACCCATGTACGAATTCATGCCTCGGGCCTCCAGTAATATATATAATTAATGAATTATTGCTTTCTAGAATAAATATTAAAAGAAAAAATTTAAATATATATTTTGGATCATTTTTGTTATTTATTTAAATAGTCTCTCCTGATTGGCGGGGGTGGATCTTGTTGAGGAATAGGTTTCATGCACACATGAGTTTCCTTTTCCAAGTTACTGAGATTTCAGAGGTGGGATTAAAACATTAACCACTTTGAATAAATAATAAATTCATTATGTTTTAAATTATTATTTTTAATTAGAGTCCATTTCATTCAAGGTTTATAATATGCTAAAACTAAATAGCGCTTTTTCTAAAATGTTTTCAGATTCCAAGTAGACTTAAGGGAGGTAACAAAGACCAACACAGAATTATAGAATATGATGATTATATGAAGGCTATACTCACAAGTTCAAGTATTTCAGAAATGGGTTTGACAGTATGTTGTGGATCTGGTTGGTTATAGGACTCAGCATTGCAGCAGCATATTCTTTAGTGCAAAGTGTCAGATGTCAGCCAGTTATAAGGGGAACAAGAAACTGAACATGGATGAAAGCAGTGGTTCTCAAAAGTTAGCAGCCTCAGAAACCCCTGGGCAGCCTTTTGGAGCCCAGAGTGCCGGGCCCCGCCTCAGTTTTCAGTTCTGTAGGTCTTGGGTGGGGCCCAAGAATTTTCATTTCTAAGTCCTCAGCTCCCACTGCTGGACCACACTTTGAGGCCCACTGAGTCAAAGGAGATAATTATTGCAGTTCTAAAGAGAAAACAACATATATGGCTTGTGATAAATTTGGCATTGTTTAACTGGGCATTGCCTGGAAATCTAAAATCCAGAATTCATAGACATCCAACAAAATAATGCTGAAAACAAGAAAACTACAACCATTCACATCCAAAGTTGCCTTTAAAGACCCAGGTTTACAGTCTGACTGAATTCTACTTGGTAGCCTTGTGCTCTTGAACCTTCTCTAATTTGTAAAATAATACTTTGCTCTTTGTATCTCTGACCATTTCTCTGAGATAAAATTTGTAATAGTACTCTGTTAACTGTAGATCGTTGTCATTTTCTAAATATATTTTATTGATTTTAGACAGGAAGGGAAAGGGAGAGAGAGAGAGATAGAAACATCAATGATGAGAGAGAAACATTGATTGGCTGCCTCCTGCACATCCCCTACTGGGGATCGAGCCCACAACCCAGGCATGTGCCTTTGGCCGGAATCGAACCTGGGACCCTTCAGTCCACAGGCTGGCGCTTTATCCATTGAGCCAAACCAGCTAGGGCGATTGTTGTCATTTTAATTAGCTAGTCATTACCACCTATATTCATCTACCTCACCTGCCATAACAAAATACCATAGACTCGGTGCTTAAATGACAGGCATTCATTTCTCCATTTCTCCCAGTTCTGGAGGCTGGAAAGTCTAAGATCAAGATGCTGGCCCATCCTGAGGGTTTCAGGCAAGAGTCTGTTCCTGGCTGCCTTCTCTCTGCATCCTCACATGGCAGAGAGAGAGAGAGAGAGAGAGAGA